GTGCGCTCAATAGTCCGGAAATTATGGTAACAGGATTTGATTCATTATTTTTGCTTTAGATATTATTCAGTCACTGTTGTTATCAGTAGTTGTGTTATTTTATTTATTTTAATTGTTTCGTATTCCAGTTCACACTCCTCATCAGTTGGTGGCGGTAATGCACATTTAGTTGTTTGCCAATCGCCAAAAAAAAAAAAAAAACTCCACAACAAGATATTTTTTGATGATTTTTCGAAAAGTCTACGGGAAAAATGAATAGAAAATTAACTTCTGGAACCGGAGTGAGCGTCACCGCCTTTGTGCGAACATGAATTTGTGGGAGCTGGAGGCACCAGATCATTCCGTTTCTGGAGCCGTTTTCAATCGGATTAATGTGAACGAACACTGCACCCACAACGAAAACGATTAGAAGACGTACTAGTGTGGACGGGGCCTAAATCTGCAGGGTTTGTGTGTGAAACGTGAGTTAAATGAAACAAAACACAACTCCAGGTCTGTTTGTGACGAGGAAACGACATTAGAACCGAGATCAGACACAGTAGGAGTAACATGGGCCCTTTAAACAGTTAATTTGAGCCGAGTCTTTTGTTTTCGTGTTTCTCCTCCACGTCTCGTTTCTCGTCCGCACAGGGGAGGGGGAGGGAGGGGGGAGGGGCTCATTTGCATACAGCCCTAATGAACGTCAGCGAGACAGGCTCACAGAGACGGGCCTAACGAAGCTCAATTAGGCGGGTTTTGCATAAGCTCTGCTCCATTCTGTCGGATTATCTCGACTCTCGCTGGTTACACGGTTTTACTCTATGCTAATCTCAAAGTTTAAACACGAACGCAGCTTTTTAACAAGAGTCTGATCCGCTCGGGCAGTTTGACCAAATCAAACCAGTCCTGCTGGTTTTCTACACGTCCTGTTTGTGTTACAGTGGTTGTGTTGTTTGTTTGTGTTATAGTGTGTTTGTGTTTGTATTGTGTGTTTGTGTTTGTGTTACAGTGGTTGTGTGTTTGTGTTGTTTGTGTTACAGTTGTGTTGTGTTTGTGTTTGTGTTAGTGTGTTTGTGTTTGTGTTTTGTGTTGTGTTATTGTGTTTGTTTGTGTGTGTTGTGTGTTTGTGTTTGTGTTGTGTTACAGTGTTGTGTGTTGTTTGTGTTACAGTGGTTGTGTGTTTGTGTTGTTTGTGTTACAGTTGTGTTGTGTTTGTGTTGTTTGTGCTGTTTGTTTGTGTTTGTGTTACAGTGGTTGTGTGTTTGTGTTGTGTGTTTGTGTTTGTGTTACAGTGGTTGTGTGCTTGTGTTGTTTGTTTGTGTTACAGTTGTGTTGTGTTTGTGTTGTTTGTTTGTGTTTGTGTTGTTTGTTTGTGTTTGTGTTACAGTAGTTGTGTTGTGTTTGTGTTGCAGTAGTTGTGTTGTGTTTGTGTTACAGTAGTTGTGTTGTGTTTGTGTTGCAGGAGGCTGAAGCGTCGTCAGAGCAGCGCACAGACGCCAGGACGACGTCCTTCTGCTTTGACTCCAGGTGAGATTTACACTGGGACAGAACTACAGACCCGCTTCTGTAAAGCAGGAGACGCCTCTGGAGTTTGACCCTGAAATTTGGATTTAATTCTGGATTTACACTGGAGTTGCTGCATTGATGAATAAAAACAAATTGATCACAAAAAAAAACAACATTTTGACCAGAAAAGAAAACAAGAAACAGTTGTGTAGGTTTGTTTTGGGAGGCGTCTCTGACAGAACAAACCCTGTGCTCCAGAGATCAGACACTCTGCAGCTCGTGTTCAGGAGCAGAATTATGAAATTATTAAATGAAAATAAATTATTTATTTAATGAAATGTTCTCATGAAAATGTATACAAACACTTAAAATTAGAACATTTTCTGTTGAGTTTTAACAATTAATGAAAGAGTAATTTTTCTGGTTTGTGTCCGTCACCTGCTCCTCATCATGGAGATGATATTGAACTCCCGGGAATGTTTCTCAGTATGGCATTAAAACTTACCTGTTGTATCTTGCATTTGCTCAGTTACCAATGTTTTTATTCCTAAAAATTACCCTAAAACCCATGTACCGTATTTTTGGACTATAAGGCACATTTAAAATAAAATAATTCTGGTTGTGCTCACCGACCTCGACCTGATTTTATGTGGCACACGAAAAAATCTGTCTGAATGTTTTAGTACGACTTTGGTAAACTACGAAGCAGGTCTGCACCGGACAGAAGTTTCAGTCCCGCTCCTGCCCACATCTGCAATATTTTCTCCTGTTCCCGCCCACAAATCCTGCAAGATTCGGACGTTCACTTTCTTAAGCTCTATCAAACACGGAGAAACGGAAAGGAATTGTCTAAAATGTGCTGGAGATTAAACCACGTCCGCAAGTTTAGGCTACTTAAAATGTTTTTATCAAAGCCAAAAATATTCAGCACAAATGATGTATGATAGACACACATGAATCATTTGTATCTTTTACTTTACACTCATATTTAGTTTGTTTCACTTAATGCTCCTTATAATTTGGTGCAACTTATGTATGAAAATAGACGAGAGAATTCAACATTGCTCCTTCTAGTCCGAAAAATACAGTACATGTTTCTCTTCCTTTGCAGCAGCGGTGAGGCCCACACTTCCTAACCCTGTGTGTACGTCTTTCTCTTTCATAGCGGCGGCGGCGGCGAGGCCCATCGGCGCTGTCCTCTCTGCGAGCTCATCTTCCCTCCGCACTTTGAGCAGAGGAGCTTCGAGCAGCACGTGGAGAGTCACTGGAAGATCTGCCCCGTCTGCTCCGAGCATTTCCCCCTGCACTGTCAGCAGCAGCAGTTCGAGAGACACGTCCTCACGCACTTCGACGGACACGTGCTCAACTTCCACCAGACGGACTGAAGCGCCGCTCTGTCTGCACCCACTGAAGCATCCTACTACCCCTACTGTGTCCAGCCCGAAGCTCATCGACTGAAGCTCAACCTCTGAAGCTCACCCTCTAAAGCTCACTCTCTGAAGCTCAGCCACCAAAACACAACCACTGAAGCTCACCCAATGAAGCATCCTACTCCCCTACTGTGTCCAGGCCGAAGCTCATCTACTGAAGCTCACCCACTGAAGCTCTCCCAATGAAGCATCCTACTCCCCTACTGTGTCCAGCCCAAAGCTCATCTACTGAAGCTTAACCACTGAAGCTCACCCTCTAAAGCATCCTACTCCCCTACTATGTCCAGCCCAAAGCTCACCCTCTGAAACTCACCCTCTGAAGCTCCCCCACTGAAGCTCACTTTCTGAAGCTCAGCCACCAAAACACAACCACTGAAGCTCTCCCACTGAAGCTCACCCAATGAAGCATCCTACCCCCCTACTGTGTCCAGCCCGGAGCTCATCGACTGAATCTCACCCACCGAAACTCAACCTCTGAAGATCAACCACTGAAGCTCACCCTCTGAAGTTCACCCTCGGAAGTTCACCCTCTGAACCTCATCCACTGAATCTCACCCACTGAAGCATCCTACTCCCCTACTGTGTCCAGGCCAAAGCTCATCTACCGAAGCTCACCCTACTGAAACTCACCCTCTGAAGCTCACCCTCTGAAGCTCACCCTCTGAAGCATCCTACTCCCCTACTGTGTCCAGGTCGAAGTTCACCCACTGGTCTCACCCTCTGAAGCTCACCCACTTGTCTCACCCTACTGAAGCATCCTACTCCCCTACTGTGTCCCGCCCAAAGCTCATCTACCGAAGCTCACTCTCTGAAACTCAACCACCAAAGCTCACCCATTTAAGCTCACCCACTGGTCTCACCCACTGGTCTCACCCACAAAGCTCACCTTCTGAAGCTCACCTTCTGAAGCTCACCTGCTGAAGCTCACCCTCTGAAGCTCACCCTCTGAAGCTCCCAGAGTCCAGACCATAGACTGTATATAATATATGTGGACTGCACTCATCACATTCAGCTCCAGTCAAATGAAGCTCACGAGGTCGGCAGTTTCAGGAGCGAATTTTCAATATATAAGAGATAGGAAAAGATTAACGGACAAAACTGCACAAATCAAAACACCAGGATCACATAGAGCGAGTTCATCTGAACGTTTTAAGACCAAAATACCGAAGCTCAGAGCAGCAGGAACAGAGAGAGAGCGGCGATAAAATTTCAGTTTCGATTAAAATCAACTGGAAACATTTCTATAAACAGTCTATGGTCCAGACCGACTGAAGCCCCCTGCTCCTCCTCCTCCTCCTCCTCCTGTGTCCAGCCTCCGCTCACATAAGGAGACACAGTTAAAAGTCTTTTGAAATATACTTGTACCTGATTGGGCTCTGCGACTCTGGCTCCCTCTGCTGGCAACAACGGGAAGTGGAGAATTTCGAGATGGTAAATTAGCAGCGAGGCGATTCTCAAACAGGCTCTGAGCTGCCACGTTTACATGAGAGCTTTAATTCTGAATAAAAATAAATTTTGTTTAAAAACGTAAACACTTAATTCGTAATGAAAAAGATTATTAGTAAGTGGATGGTTTTTTCCGATTTTAAAGACGGATTAATTTATTCCTCAATCATGTAACTGTATTTTTTGGACTATAAGTCGCACCAGCCAAAAAATGCGTAATGAAGAAGAACAAAAACATCTATAAGTGGCACTTTGTGGGGGAAATTTACTTTATAAAATCAGAGAACAGGAACCGACGTTTCCTGTTGAAAGTCAAGTTGTAGTAAAAACACTAGAAGAGAGAACAACAGACTGAGTTAACGTCACATATGAACAACTCTTCAGATAAACTATAACATAAACAACAGAACAGAACAAGTTTAACAAACTCTCCATCTCACTCCAAATCACTAAATCCATTCAATTCTTCATCCTCGGTGTCACTTCTGAGCAACTCCACGACCTCCGGAGGTAAACAGACTCAGCATCAGTTCCAGTTAGAATTATTTGGGTCTTTCTGAATCCAGACAGGATGGTTTCAGTGTCACTGAAGTCCAGACTTTGTCCATCCATCCAGTGACTTCAGGAAAGTTTCATGATGCATCCTCCTGGTCACAAGTTTCTCTCTCACTCCAAACTTTCTTTCTGCTGCTCGATTTCCATTTTCAGCTGCAGATTTCACGACTTGCAGTTTGTAATCTGCAGAATCTGATTTTCTTTTTGGGGGCATTTGTGTTCAGTCTTCTCAGTCGTCTTTATAAGTTTATTTAAATGTTAAAATGTTCAGTGGTGCAGAAGTAACGGTGCGATCGACTGACATGATACAGACAGGACAGAGGCTCTTTCTGCAGGAGACATGCGCAGTAGAGCCAAGTGTTAGTTCTGTTTTAGTCCTGGTTTAGACCTGATGTAGACCTGCTTTAGTCTTAGTTTAGTTCTGGTTTAGACCTAGTTTAGTCCTGGTTTATTCTTAGTTAATCCTGTTTTAGAACTGAACCTGATGTAGTCCTGTTTTAGTCGTGTTTTAGACCTGATGTAGTCCTGGTTTAGTCTTATTTTAGTCCTGTTTTAGACCTGATGAAGTCCTGGTTTAGTCTTATTTTAGTTCTGTGGTACAGGAGGAACAGGAGCAGCAGATACTGACACACAAGACTAGAGCCTCTCCACACTTCACTGTCAACATTTTAATATATAAGTCACAGGAAACACACAAACCGTGAAAAAAGTGCGACTTATAGTCCAAAAAATACAGTAAACATTTATTCTTTTGGACGATCCGGCTCCACCAGTCGTGGCGTCGGACTTTCATCCACGTCTCTTTGGATTTGTGAGCGGGATGTGGGAGTGGGCTGAGGTAGAGCAGCCTCACACTCACTTTGTCTTCTTCCTCCTTCTCCGACACTCTTCCCTTCTCCTCCTCAGCCGACAGACGTAAAGTGTGATGAGACAATTCTCTAACTGCGGCGAAATTATCATCGGAACCACCGCAGAAAAAGTTTGGATCGTGTTTGTGTCCGTGGCGTAACGACAAACCACAGAAAAGCCGGTAACAGCTGAAGTGTTTTCTTCCAGTCGACGTCAATAAAGACAATTTAACGTGTTTTCCAAGTAAACCTCAATTCAGAATTGTAAACTATTTTAATTCCAAACTCTATAATTCAGAATTAAAAATCATCATGTAAACGTGGCCAGTGAGACAAAAACAAAAAAAATATGAACACTTTATTTTAAGCTTCAGACAGGTCAAAAGCTCCAAAAAGCAAAATCCGTCTCCTTCATTTCTGGGCTGTGTTGTGAATATTGAACCATTTGCACTTTTCTGCAATCAGCAACCGTTACGAGAATGTAAAAATAAAAAAAATAAAAAAACAGTTCGTAGACTCATCGGATGGACTTTGGGTGACACGGCGAGATCTCTCCGGCGGTGACGGGGCATCAGGCTTAACCGGGCTCGGAAAACGGAAGCTGCTTAGAATTGCTTTACAATTCAACGACGAAGTTTAGGCTGCTAAGAATAGGGCAATAGTGCAATCAAGAGTATATTTAAGAGTGTTTAAGCGTTTCTATGGAGACGGCGGAAAGGGGCGGAGACACGTACTTTAACTTGAAGGGAAAGGGAACAGCTTTTATTGTGAAAGTCGTGCTGCCGCTTCAGTAAAAAAAAAAATCCGGCTCGTGCTTCTTAGTTTTATTGTAATTTCAGCGGAGATGGGAGAAAGATTTGATGGTTTAGTTTTGGTTTAAGTCCAGGTTTAGGACCAGTCTCCAACAAAATCGAATATTTTTTAATTTAAGATTTCGTTTTAAAGACGCTGTACGTGATTTTTACCGACTTAAAAACGTGAAAAACAGTTTGCAGTGGCCTTCAGTTCTTCTTATGCATTCAGACAATCTAAATTATTCACCGTGATGAGTTTTTAAGCGCGTGTTCCAACTTCCAGAGACTAAAGCGAACAACAACTAGCATGCTAACACACACTTCCTGATTCTCGGTCAATAAAACGCTTCAGAATTAGATGCAGACAGAACACAGCGGATTTATTTGGACCTCAAGAGCCGATTATAAGATATATATCTGTACTGGGAACAGGCATGTTTTACTTAAAGGTGCATTGTGTAACTTTTCGGTTGGGGGTCCGTCACCTGCTTGTTTCCGTGGAGATGTCGTTTCTCTGCCTGGAATGTTCCACAGTGTGACTTTAAACAGCTCTAGGTTACATTTATTCCAATACAGGTGGTTTTATGGCTCAGAAATACCAAGAAAAACAACACAACACAAACATCACAACACAACACATGCACACAGCAGAATACACACATGAACACATGACAACACACCTCACAACACACACACATCACATGAATACGACACACACACCAGAACACACACATCACAACACGCACCAGAACATCACAACACAACACATGCACACACCAGAACACACACATCACACACATCACAACATTACAAAAAAACACACCAGAACATCACGACGCACACATCACAACGCACACACAACGCACCAGAACATCACAACACACGGCATAACAGTACAACACACACATCACAACATTACAAAAAACACACCAGAACATCACGACGCACACATCACGACGCACATCACAACGCACATCACACGCACACATCACGACGCACAACATCACAACACACACACATGCACACAGCAGAATACACACATGAACACATGACAACACACCTCACAACACACACACATCACATGAATACGACACACACACCAGAACACACACATCACAACACGCACCAGAACATCACAACATCACAACACAACACATCCACACACCAGAACACACACATCAACACATCACATCACAACATTACAAAAGAACACACCAGAACATCACGACGCACACATCACGACGCACACATCACAACGCACATCACGACGCACCAGAACATCACAACACACATCACAACATTACAAAAAAACACACCAGAACATCACGACGCACATCACGACGCACACATCACAACACGCACCAGAACACCACAACATCACAACACAACACATCCACACACCAGAACACACACATCAACACATCACATCACAACATTACAAAAAAACACACCAGAACATCACGACGCACACATCACAACGCACCAGAACATCACAACACACGGCATAACAGTACAACACACACATCGTGACACATACATCACAACAACACAACACACCACAACATTACAACACACATAGCAAAACATCTCAACAATATGACACACACACACACATCAACACACACATCACACCACACACAACACAATATTACAATACACACACTACAACTTCACAACACACACATTACAACACACATCACAACACACATCACAACTATACAATACACACATCCGAACATCACAACACACACATAGCTAAAAATCACAACACACACATTACAACATTACAATACACACACACCACAACATCATAACACACACATCAAAACATCACAACACGACATCAACACACCACACCACATTCTGACAGTGAGCGAGCTCTTGTCTCCACAGATCTGACCTGTCACTTGTTCTGGTTTGGTCTCCATGGCGACAGAAAGGCTTAATTTAATGCCACGCTGCGGAACATTCCAGACAAAACAACAGCAACAACAACATCTCGACGAAGAAAAACATTTATTTAACGAACCCTCCAATAGAAAAGTGACACAACGCACCCAAATTAAAATAAATTAAAATAAAATGTACAGGGTTTTTTAAGTTGGTGATTTTCAAAAATTTGTGATTTTTTTATTTTTATTTTTTTTGTAAATTTCTGAAGCGGCAGCACGTCTGTTGTGTAAATTCCCCGTGAGTCCCAGTGCACTACAGACGGCTTTATTGTGAATGTAATGTAAATACTAATGGAGTCTATGGAGGGGCCTGTCATTTTCTCCTCTGCTCTTCTTTTCCATGTTTTATTTTGAAAGGACGCTGACTTCCTGTCGCGCTGGCTTGGGCTCAGACCCGTACAAACGTTTTATTATTATTATGATTTTCGTTTTTCCCTCTTCTTTTGCGTGTGGCGAGAGCAGACGCCCGTATTTCTGTGTCTGGAGTTGAGAAGCCGCAGACGTGGAAGTGTTTTTACTCCAAACGGTGAAGCGCAGCCTTAAAACGGACTGTGTGTGTGTGTGTGTGTGTGTGTGTGTGTGTGTGTGTGTGTGTGTGTGTGTGTGTGTGTGTGTGTGTGTGTGTGTGTGTGTGTGTGTGTGCGTGTGTGCGTGTGCGTGTGTGTGTGGAGAGGCCTGTCACCGTAACACAACAAAAGTAAAAAAAAAAACACTGTGATAAATAATGAAGGAGTAAGTATCAGTACAAAATAAAAAAGTAGAAGTACGAGGAAGTGGTTCAAGCGGAAAAAACAAAAAAAAACAAAAAATCGACTCAAATAAAAGTCTGTTGTTTTTTTTTTCTTTTTTTTTATTATTGAAAAACATGAAATTCTACTGTATATAGTGCAATCAAGAGGATATGTTCTCTCTCTTTGTCTCTTTCTTTCTCTCTCGTCTCTCTTATTGTCTCTCTGTCTTTCTTTCTTTCTTTTTCACTCTGTCTGTTTTTCTGTCTCTCTCTATTTTCTCTTTCTCTTTGCCTCTCTCTTTCTATTTCTCTCTGTCTGTCTCTTTGTCTGTCTCTTTTTGTCTGTCTTTCTCTCTCTCTTTTCTCTTCTCTCTGTCTTTGTCTCTCTCTCTTCTCTCTCTGTTTTTCTGTCTCTTTCTCTCTGTCTCATCTCTCTCTTTCTTTCTGTCTTTCTGTCTCTTTGTCTGTCTCTTTTTGTCTCTCTGTCTTCCTCTCTCTCCTTTCTCTTGTCTCTCTGTCTCTTCTCTCTCTTTCTATGTCTTTCTGTCTCTTTGTCTCTCTCTTTTTGTCTCCCTGTCTTTCTTTCTCTCTCCCATGCCTCTCTCTCTCTCTCTGTGTGTGTTTTTCTGTCTCTCTCTCTTCTCTCTCTTTTGTCTCTCTGTGTTCTTCTGTCTCTTTTTCTCTCTCTGTCTCCGTCTTTCTCTCTCTCCTTTCTCTTGTCTCTCTCTTTCTGTCTCTTGTATTTTTCTGTCTTTTTCTCTGTCTCTTCTCTCTCTTTCTCTCTCTTTATTTCTGTCTCTTTTTGTCTCCTCCCTCTTGTCCCTCTTTCTCTCTGTTTTTTGTCTCTTTCTCTCTCTCTGCCTCTCTCTTTGTCTTTCCCCCTCTTTCTCTTTCTCTCTCTCTTGTCTCTTTTTCTTTCATGAAGCTTTTGTCACTTTAGACTCCTTCACAGTGGGACACACAACATTTACTCGAGTAAGAGTACTGATACTTAAAAGCACAGTATTCCTACCTGAGGAAGTCCACTTATTACAACATTAGAATTTCAAACCAAACAGTCTCCGTGCTCATTAAAACAGTGACAGGCCTCTCCGCGTCTGAACCTGAACCGTGTGACGCTGCGGTCGAACATGAATCAAAAGCATAACCTTGTCTGTGATCAAATGTCTCTATAAAAATATAACACTGCTCTTTAAAATGACCTGAAGTCTGCTCCGTGTCCATGTGAGACGTACGGCTGGGTATGAATAAACGAGCATTCAAACGAGTCTGTGTGCCCAGGTTATTTTGTGTTTGTGTCACGATACTTTAAATTCAAACTTAATTTCAAAACAGATTCTGAAATGAGGATAAAATATAGAATAAAAACTCTTTCTTTAGACAATAGAATGTGATTTTCAACATCAAATACTCAATTTGTTTTATATGATTTATTATTTTGTTACAGAGGTGGGACCAAGTCGTCCTTTTGCAAATCTCAAGTCTTTGACCTCAAGTCCAAGTCAAGTCCAAAGTCAAATACATGAAAGTCCAAGTTGAGTCTTGAGTCACTGTCCTGTAAGTCCAAGTCAAGTCCAAGTCATCTGCTTTGAGCTTCAAGTCATTTCAAGTTTTTAAACCAAAGCACCAAATATAGCTTGCAATTATATTGCAATTTATTTGAATTTAAAAATAAATTGTATTTATAAAGTTATAGTATATTTATATTTGAGTATTTATTACAACTGTAGAAATGCTATTTTTTCCTTTTTAAATGTCTTGACAAGATTTTAGAGAGAATCACTACTGCGCAGTGACTATGGCAAGTGAAATGTATTTATTAAAAAAGGAAAAATATAATTAATATAAATAAGAATATTAAAATACATATATATATATATATATATTATATATATATATTTTTTTTTTTTAAATTGGTGATTATTATGGATCATTTTCTTGACAAGATCTTAGAGTGAATCATTATGTTCAGAATTCAGATTTAAAAGTGTTTCTCAAGTCTGACCTTCAAGTCCAAGCCGAGTCCAAAATTTTAGTCCATTTTATGAAGTCCTCAAGTCCTAAAAACCGTGACTCAAGTCTGACTCGAGTCCAAGTCACGACTCGCGAGTCCCACTTCTCTTATATTGTATTATAAAGTACAGATATCTGCTCACAAATGTAGTGAAGTAAAAAGAATCCAATTTAAAATGTACTTAAGAAAAGTACAGATCCCCAAAAACCTAAAAACTTCATTACATTCCACCACCATGTGAGTTTCATTTCCTAGTGATTTAGTTGTTTTTGGTGAGGTGTGGGAGTTGTTTTTTTTTTTGTCCCTTATTTGTTTTTGTTACGTTTAAAGCTGCATTGTGTAACTTTTCTGGCGGAAGATAATGCTTTTCTCCATAGACATGTTATTACTTTGTCCGGAATGTTCCACAGTGTGGCATTAAACCTTTCTATCTTCATGGAGACCAAACCAGACCAAGTTACAGGTCAGATCTGTGTTGAGGTGACTCAACTCAGTCAGAATGCCAGTTTTTAAAGAATTTTTTGAGCTATAAAACCACCTGTAATTGTAAATAAATAAATAAATATAAAGTAAAGCTGTTTAAAGTCACACTGTGGAACATTCCGGGCAGAGTAATGACGTGTCCATAGAACCAGTTACATACAGTGCACCTTTAAATAAAAATTAAAAAAATGGTAAAAATATAAATAAATAAATGACACACACACGTATTTCTTTAAGTTTTCCAGTTTTATTTTGCTTTTTTTTTTTCAGAGTTTTCCGTTTCCGTGTAGCAGCTTCAGTCTTGTATCGAAAGACGTTTTGACGTGAACAGGCTTGTCTCTCGTACAAAAAGGCGCTGGTTTCTTATGAATGTTACATATGAAAATAGATTTTAAAATGCACTTGACAGACACACGTTACGTTACATTCACTGTACAGTTAAACAGGTGCCCCCGCTGCTCGTGCGCCGCTCCTGCCCCCTGCTGGTCACACTGAGAACTGACACTCTGCAGGTCACTTTCAACGCTGGGAAATCTGGAGACGAGTGTTATTTATTTTTTGTTTTATTTTAAGTTTTTGGCGTTAGAAAATAAGCTCCGCCCACCTCGAAGATTGTCACGGTTACGGTAGCGAATTTTCCATCAATTTTTCCCATTTATTCATTTTTTTCCAATAGATTAAAAAATTCAACTATCAGAACGATGAAGGCGAATTAAAAAAAAAAAAAAAAGTAATAAAGTAATAAAAAATACAAAAAAAAACT